ATCTAACACCCTCTTTCGAAAAGGTTACTTGTCGTACGTTACACGAGGTTTAGAATTTTGGAGCGACAGAGTCGCAATCTTCCGAACCCAACAATACGTAACGATAATTGATCCTTAAAATATGCTGATTGGGTACAACTAAAAAATTTACTAAAATCACATGTCAAATTTGTTGACTCTTCTAGAAAGTATAATAAAATATACGTCAAACCCATGAAGTCAGAATAGGAAACAAAAACTATTAATTTTAATCATAAATACTTTTTTTAAATGTTTGTAACTTAAGTTTATAAGTGATTTCACAAGTTTTAATTTTCTGTAATATATATTTGTTTAGATTTTACAATGCACGGGTTTGGTGATATACATATTTAACTATGGTTTCATGATACATATTTAACATCTATTTTGTGTAAAGTACAAAGGTGAGATGAACTAACATAAGTAAAATAAATATATCAAGTATCGAGATTAGATCAGTGTAAATCAATATACACTGTGATCTACTTATTGTATTCTGTTGAACGTGGGATAATCAGTTAGACACAAGCTCTAATGTGTATTTATAAATTTAGGATACTTTCTAATGATGTACACGTCAACCGACTGTCTAATATCTAACAAAAATTATCATATCATTACAGCGCATTTGTGGAATTAGGGACATTAAGTAGATATAATGGAAAGATGGATTGAATCATAATTTAAATCAGGATATATTTCACAATTATCATAATAACTCTAGCTTATATTGATATATGTATACATGAAGTCAAATTAAATTGACTCACTACGAGTAGTCAAACTTTTTCAAAATTTGGGGTAGTTTACAAATGCGCCATAATGTCATTCATACTGTAGAATATTTATCAGTTTTATGACAAAATAAAAAGGTCTAATAATCAAAATTAGTCCAGACACTTAATATTAAAATTACAAACCACTACTAGTTGAATCGTAAAACTATCTAATATTAATTTTAAATTCACTTACTGCTAAAATTATGAATAAACTACCGAAAATATGAACTCATACATTAATGAAATTTGGTTTTATTAAATCGCTGACCCCCACTGCAAAATGCGAATTCACCTGCCATTAATATCACCAAATCACAAATACTAAAATCCAAGTAAAAATTTATAAATGTAATATTAGTTGGGCCCAAGAGAAGACATGCGTTTAGAAGGTGTTTCATAAGATGTGCACTTAGGAAGGCTACATTTAGTGAGGTCTGACTGTACTTCTATACTATTTCTAAAATAGAAGTTGGCATTCTATAAAGTTTAGCTTTATTATAATCACAAACCTTCTTTCGTTTTCTCCTATTTTATTCCATTTTGTTTAGCAAGTAACTTTTGTTTTTCGTTAGCAATTTTACCGCTGTAAAAAATTCGTAATAATTATTAAAAGATGTAAAAAGGATGTATAATTAAAAAGAATGACAATTCCGGATCATCCTGAATTTGAGATCTGGGCAATACACAAAACAAAATAATATAGAAGTAAGGATGCGTATTATTTCACCGACAATAGAACTTAGTTTACCGACAAATAATTCTCAACAAGTTCATTTCACCGACAATTAAGTCACGAACATGTATTTTTCAACCTATCTCTGAGTATGGCCTGACCCTAACGATAATGACCAGAATTACTTTGTCGGTGAAATGAATTAGTTTCGGTGAACTAGGTTGTCGGTGAAGTGATCAGGAACGAATTTTTTTCCTACTCTATCAAGACGGTACCGACGATCCAACGGGAATGATATTTTTGCATAATACAGTAAAGAAATTTTCCAAGTCTACACGTAGTGTATTGGTACACGGGTACTAATTTGCAAATCCGTATAACAATTTTACGAAAAAGCTTGATAGCTTATACTAGAATTCTGTAAGTATTTTTTTTTTCATAATCGATTTCCAATTTTCAAGTTTTTAAGGAAAACGAAAAGATTACGTTACATCAGAACTAGCATTCTTATTGGCTTGTGTACATACACGTGTATTGTCAATAATTAATGTCCGGAAAACTACGGGCACAACATTTACCTTAACTTATATTCAAACAACGACAAATTTAGGATGAGTTTAACGTGTATTTTAGTAATGTCGGTCATTGTTGTGCCTAAGTATGTATAAGCCGAAATATAACTGCAATCTGTTTACTATAAGTTATGCCCGTAGCAATTTCCTATTTATATTGATTTGATCATCTTTGATCAAAATAGTCATCGTAATCCTCCCCAGTTTCGTGTTACAGTCACGTAATAATCAAGAAATTCTTTAAATTTCATTTAGATTAGGGTTAGAGCTATTTTTGAGTTTAAAAAAAAGTCTAATCTTAAAATTGCTCAAGTAAAACTTTTAATTAATGCACGGGAGGTGGTTTCTTATACAAATTTGCGAGAAATAAGCGATTTTTGTCAAATGAACGTTCGGTTTAAATTTACTCATCGTGTTACTGTTTTTCAGGGTGCAAAACATTCATTTTTGATACACGACACCTATTTTTCTGATTCACAAATAATATTGCGTGCTTTTATAGAATATTTAGTAAAAGGTATAAAATTTTAGGTCACATTTAGGTGTATCCAAAAGTAGGTGCAGAAGTATCAAAAATGAATGTTTGCTACTGGGGTATTGTCACATAAGTAAACCACATGGACTGAGTGAAGGCTGTGTAACATGCTGTCCTCTTTTATTATGGACGACACGATTATCTAACATAGCTTGATTACTTAGTTGATGTCACACCTAATAGTGTATGGTTAATACTTAGAATAGAAGATTACTACGGTAATCAACAACTGAAACTTCGAATAGAGCTAGTATTGGTGATATTTTAAAGTTTTATGCACAGCAACGAAAGTACCACAAGTATGCTGCAGCAATAAAATTTGTATAACTATAATCTCGGCCTCTATAAATCATTAATACGTATATTTAAAGATGATTCAACAATTTAAGAATAAAACATATGTGAAAATGGAAAATTGGATAAATAATTCTGAGCAATACCATAATATATTTTTTCTTTATCATTTTGAAGAACTTGAGACCGATGTTACGATGTTATCTAGCAATAGCTGTAAGGTTTTTTCAAAAAAATACAATAAAACTATGATTTTAAAAAGACTCATTTTTTTCAAAAATATACATTGGAAGATTTTATTAATGATGTAAGTTCAGTTTGCTATATACTAAAAAAGGACATTATTATAAAATTTATCATTTTTAACATACATCTTAACATGTTCATTATTAGCTAAAACAATACAAGAAGTTATACTTACATGAAAATATTTTAAAATTTATAACGATTATTAAACAGAACATAAATGAAATTATATTTGTTCATGAATATGCATTTGATGGAACACTTTGTCAATATTTAAAACAAAATTTTAACAAAATTAATTGGAATGATAAGTTACGCCTTGCACGAAAATGATATAATTCACTTGAACTTGGTATGCTTTGATTTTTTTAAAAAAATTTAACCTACTATAAATTAATATTAATACCTTTTTTAATTATTTAGAATTCCAGAAAAATAGTTGTCAATAAAGGGGATATTCAGCTTTATATATTTCAGGATCAGAATACATTTTCAAATGTGTTTAAGTATATTCAGCATACAGATCCTCAATATTTACAAAATATTGAAACGTACAAACTTAACAAAAGTTCTGATATATATAGTATTGGAGTTCTACTTCGGGAGATTTCAAGTAGGATTATTATATTTAAAACTGAATTATACTGTATTTCCAATTTACTAAATGAAATTGTTAATGATAAACGTGAAATTATAGTACCCGGAACACCTAAAAATTATATTAATATATATAGGTAGAATAATTATGAATATTTTATATGTCCAATAACATAATATTATAATTAATGTAGAATTTTGTCTTTTTTTAGAATGTTGGCGGCATGATTCAAATAAACGACCCACCGTTCAGTACATTTTTAATGATTTAAATAACATTAACGATAATGAAACATTAATAATTAGTGATGAAAAAACATTTACAGATTGTAATAAGAATAATAACAAAGATCAATCAACGTCAGAAATGGAAAGTTCAAATTCAGCAGAATTATTGAACTATTCTACTGATTTGCATAATAAGAAATCAAAAGAATTAATGTTAATTTCTTCAATTATAAAAGTATTAAGTGAAAATAATGAAAATAGCATAGTCAATGATCAGAATAATTTATTACCTTTAACATGTTTCTTATCAACTTTAAACACTTTAAATATTGTTGAACCAATTTCAATATCTCTTATCAATGCAAGTAATCAAATAATATTGACAATCAATTTCTTTATGACTTAAACCAATTATTTATATCACAATTTAATATACAAGGAGCTACATAAAATTCTGTAAGTTCTGTAATTTACTGCTTGAAAAAAACATATAGTTGATTATAACAAAAATTCAGAAGATATTCTCAAACATTATAATAATTACAAGTTTGAATATTATTTTACAAGCATTATTGGATTCTTATATGAGCATTGAATTGGATCAATCGTCGATTATCACAAGGCATTGATATGTATAGACAAGCGGCTGAAAAATTTTAATTCTTCAACCAAGATGGACAATTTACTAAAAGAAAATCATTAATATCTATTGGAATACATTATATTTATGAAAAAGGAGTTATAACAGAGCACTATATTTATTTTTAAAATCAGCTGCCACAGGTTCAAGTTCTGGGAAATATTACATTGGACAATGCTACGATCATAGTTATGATGTTATTAAAAGACTATCCCATTCATTTAATTGGTACTTAAAATCTGCAGAAGAAGGAAATGCAAGTGGACAAAATGCAGTTGGATATTGCACTAAGTATGGCGAAGGAACCCTTCTTGATGAGGAAAAGGGAAATTATTTGGTTGTTATTATGAAACATAGAACATTATATAAAAGCTTTTGAATACTATGTAAAATCCGCAGAAGGTGGAAATCGTGTAGGGCAATATTATCTTGCTTGCTGTTATAGTGATGGAGTAGGTACTTATGCAGACAAAAAGTTGGCTTTTGAGTGGTATTTGAAATCTGCAGAAGGAAGAGATACTTGGGGACAAAACAGTCTTGCTCATTGTTATCAACGAGGCATAGGAATACCCATAGATAAACAGAAAGCTTTTGAGTGGTATTTCAAATCAGCGTTGAATGGAGATAGTTTGGGACAATACAAACTTGGTCAATGTTATGAATATGATATCGGAACTTCAATAAATGAAAAGAAGGCTTTGAATGGTATTTGAAATCAGCAGAGGAAGGTGATAGTTTTGGATAATACAAACTTGGTCATTGTTATCAATATGGCATTGGAATTCCATAAATGAAAAGAAGCTTTTGAATGGTATTTAAAATCATCAGAAGAGGGACATAGCTTGGGAAAAGAATGTCTAATTAGTTGTTATCAAAATGGTATAGGAACTTTTTAGATAATGAAAAAGCTTAAGAATGGCTAAACAAGCTTTAATTGTAATAATCTAATTTAATAACCAGTTTGATAGAATAGAAATTCTATAGTGTTATGGTATCATCATATTTAAACATCATTTTTATAAATACAGTGATCGCAAAAAAAGGTCCGAAAAAATAATATACAGTACAACAAATTATAAATATGCCAGCTAGTTATTAGTGTTCTTTATATACAGCTATACCTACTCGAATCAATATTAAAAACCTACTATATATTTCAAACTCATACAGGGGGATCCCCAAAATTCCGGGTCGGAATACATCGGAATCATGATCGGCAGGGCCGGAATTAACT